GTGTGTGTGTGTGTGTGTGTGAGAGAGAGAGAGAGAGAGAGAGAGAGAGAGAGAGAGAGAGAGATAGAGATAGAGAGAGAGAGAGAGAGAGAGAGAGAGAGTTGGAAAAGTAGAATGTTTTCAAAACCATCATAAGATTGTGACCTGCAGCTCCGCTCTGTGCTGAGCAGGTTGGTGAAAGCGGGTAATGGGGAGTGGATTACCTGCCGGGTTTGAAGGTCGAACGTCTCTTCCATCCATAATTCTAAAGCTCTGTGTTGGGCGGGTTGGTCGGGTGGGGGGGGGGGGCGGGATGTTTCATGGGGTGGGGGAGGGGGGTCGGTTCGCGCTGACGGGTCGACCTCTTCGCAATCCTAAGCTACAAAAACCGCCTCGCCTTGACTGAAGGGACTTAACCTTTAGTTAAAGGTTTTTTATACAGCCGACAATCAACTCATAAAAGGGGTTTGCCGCGCTGCGCCTCGGTATGCACACGCCGTCTTGCATTCCGACACGTCTGAAGAAAAAACTCAGAAGAAAAAAAACACATAGCAGTGCAATTGTGTGTTGCTACGGCAACTGCGCGCTCTCGTAGAGTATACTTGTCTTCAGCCCATGGACAACATGTTGAAGGTATTGCGTGCTGCGACTGAGTCGTACCTGCAGAGAAGAATTTACGCGCGCAAAAGGAGTGCCCACCCAAGGCCAAGGAACAGCAGGAAAAAGCAGAGCACGGTCAGCAGAGGCCCAAGGGTAAATATGGGGCTCAACAAAATAATCGCATTATGTTTCCACCAATGGATTGAAAAGTACGTCCATGTAATTGATCAATACTTCGTAAACAACACAACCTTCCTTTGCCTATATTTTGTTCAAAACCAAAGTGCATGATTTGAGTCATTTGTATCTTAGTCTATTCTCCCACTGCCAGACATCCCGTTAGCACCGAAGCCATACAAAGATGAGAATGATTTTTTTTTAATTTTTTTTCCCCCCCATACAACAAGAGGATGCCCGCCGCACATGCGGTGGGGACCACAATGGGGAAAAGAAAAACGAATAGACCTCTCCCCACTACTCACCACATGTGCAAAATGAGAATGAATCTTTCGGTAGAACATGGAAAGATACACCGCATGAATCTTTCGCTAGAACGATATTTCTGTGTCACATTTTTCCTGGGGAGAGGGTGGGTGTGCCCCCTCACCCTGCCCCTCCTCTATTTTTTGTGACCCCCTACTTTTAGGGGTGCGGCACACCGAGTGCACTTGCATGGCTGCTCGTGCGCTGGGCGCCGCAAGTGCGCCATGCTCGTGCACAAAGTGCGCCGCCAAGTACGTTTCATTTTCATTTTATCTGAATGCATAGACACAGGTTCACCGCTACATACACTTGGGGGGAAAAAAAAAAAAAACACTGTGGAGGGTGATGCAGTCTGCCGCCCTGCTCTCCCTCTGCCATACACATATTAATTCAATTTAATTGTCAATGTCAACTTGTAAAAGTTTAAAGTTAAAAAAAAAAAAAAAAAAAAAAAAAAAAAAAAAAAAAAAAAAAAAAAAAAAAAGTTAAAAGTCAGAAGTTGTAATATGGGGCCTCGCTCCACTACTGTCTATTATGTGCAAAACGAGAGTGAATCTTCCGCTAGAACAAGGAAAGATACACTGCCATGATATTTGTCTTTTATGCATGTCGAGAGTAGTGGAGCGAGGCCAATTATTACCACCCGGTTCAGCCCCGGCAAGCAGACAGAACAAAAGAATGAGCACATTCAGGCTGGCATTCACTGTACAGGTCAGAGGTTCATCAACTCCCACACACACATTGTCTATATTTGGATTCTCTATATGGTGTAAACTTTAAAGTTGTAAACCATTCTTTCAAGTTTCAATTTTCCTCTTTTTTTTTTTCTTTTTTTTTCAATTAAACCACCAGTACCTTTGCCGCTCCAGTGTACAGGTCACAGGTTCATCAACTCCCACACACACATTGTCTAAATTTGGATTCTCTATATGGTGTAAACTTTAAAGTTCAAAGTTGTAAACCATTCTTTCAATTTTCCTTTAAAATTAAACCGCTAGCACCTTCGCTGCTCCAGAAATGAGGGAAAACGCCAGGCCGGGCCCGACGACGGCTGCCATTGATAAATCTAATCGGCGGCCGTCGTTTCGTTTCCGCCAGCCTCCCGAAAGGTCGGAGGCCCGCTATTTTCCAAACCGAAAAAAGGTACTACCGTCCTCCCCCGAACATAACGCACCCTGATAATGAATGTATGCAAGCTATCTTTCCGGTCCGGTGCAGCCATAAGGAGGGTGCGTTGTGTTTGGGGGAAAACGGTAGTGGTTTAAACTTTAAAATTAAAAAAACAGGCCCGCATTCTTTGATGATTTAATCATAATTTTGAATTTTTTTATGTTGTTTTCCACCATTATTTGGTAAAACAATAATTAAGTTTTGGCACCCCTTGTCAATGATGCCTGCATCTTCAAACCCATATGTTATTCCAAGGCCGAAAAAATCCAGATGAGAGTATGGACCATACTTGCAAGCGGACGCCGTCCAGGCGGTTCCGCACGGCAGACCGCTGGACCGGACCCGCGCGGCGCACGAATGTGCGCCCAACGACCAGTTACGCCCCMCCCCCCCCCCAAAAAAAAGTCCGGTCGGGTCCGGGTCCGTCTGGTCCGTGGGGAGGGTGCCGCACGCGGCAAAGCGGACTGGACCGGACGCTCGTCCGGTCCGTCTGCTTGCCAGTATGGTATGGACCATTGATCCAGCAACTACCAGGTGCACAGCTACAAACACCTGGTGTCCGTATACGGACACCCATGGCATCTAGGTACAAACAAACACGTAGAGCATCCGGGGCTATAGAAGTCCCGCGAGCTCTTACAATGGGACTCTGGTTGATTAGCCCCTGGCCTGCCGACAAGGTAAACCCCAAACACGAACAGGCCGAGCTCAGTTGGTACACCCATCAACTGTTGGAAAATATGAATCAGACCCGCATTCGAATCCAGATGCAATCAGATGAACAGAAAATGAAAATGATTGAATTATGATTCTGAAAAAAAAAAAAAAAGACTTGCGACCAATTCACGTCCCTACGGCCTTTATAGGTCAATCGGTCACTCTAAGGTTGCAGTTATCTACCGAGAAGAATTGCACAGCAAGCGCACAGCAGTCGCAGTGTGTTTTTGTGTGTTTTATTTATTTATTTATTATATTCATGTAATTTTCATCAAGTTAATTGCAGATTTGTCGTATCTAGAGTCTTTCTGCTGTGCTCGTTGTTTTTCTCTCTTTTTCAGTTTCTTTTTGTTCAAATCTTCCTGCACCAATGAATATGATTTTGTCACATGGAGTTTGTATTTTTTTCATTTTTTCATTTTCTCTTTTTTTTTTTTTTAGCTATATTCTTCTCTCAATTTCACCTCATACTACCTACCTACCGCTACTCCTAATTGTAGGCATACGGGGAACCCCGTAGCAGCCAGAACCGTGTTCACGAGAGAACATACGGGCGCTGCTCCCGACCTGCATTTGATTACAGGAGTTTCTTATCTTATCCAATACAAAAAAGGACAAAAAAAAAAAAAAAAAAGGTTAGCGATCGGCGAAGAAATAGTAATATAACTCTAACCTCAGTCAATCCCTCGAGCACTTCCAGAACTGGTAGGAGCCTCTGTCCAAGTCGCTGAAAGTCCTCTCTGCTGCCGATCCCTTCATTGTCATCGCCGGAAACGACGTTCCGACTCGGGGTTCTCAAGCTCCGTTGTCCCGGCCCACTCCGCGTAGGAGAGTTCATCGCCGGATACGTTCTTGGCGCCGTGGACGATTGCGTAATATCAAAGTGAATGTATAGAATCTCAAGAGCATGCTCGATGATCGCCAGCAGATCTGTCAGATGCAATTCTCTGGAAGCGGCTGCTCGGACCATTTCCAGCATTCCAAGGAACCGCCTGCGCACCCGACACAAGCACATTTTTTTTAACATTAATTGAATTTAATTCCAGTCGTTGTCATTATCCTCACATTCCGCACATTAACATAGGGCCTTGCTCCACTGCGTACCCGCCACGAGAAAAGTAATAAAATTCTGGAAAAAAAAAAAACAAGTCAGAAATTTTGAGAAAAAAAAACAATTAAATGTTGCAGGTCCACACACACAAATACCGGAAGAGAATAGTTTTTTTTTTTTTTTTTGGGGGGGGGGAAGAGAATAGCTTGATGGGGGAGGGGAACAAGAAGGAAGAAAGGGGAAAAAAACGAAGACAGGTCAGATACGACGAGTGGGAGAAATGAATAGGTGGAGAAAAGGTTGACGGAGGAGGAAAAACAGGGGGAAGAAAAAAAGAAAAGAGAAGGGGACAAGGTGACAAGGGAAACAACTTTTTTTTTTTTTTTTTTTTTTTTTTTTGTTCTTCGAAACAAACCTGCGTCGGATCGTGTCAGACGAGCTGGAAAGATCTTGCACAGCATACGCCTTGATGATCTCGTCAACCTCATGCCGCGAAAGCTCGTTGACGTCTCGCAACTTCATTTCACACCAGCAGAAAACCAAGCACAGGGGAGAGCAGATGGTACCCACAATGTCAGGACCATTGCTATGGTCTACCCAGGAACTGCCCTGGAACACGCCACAGGCATCAATCTTTAGCGATTCAACGCAGTTGTGAGGGAAGAAACACAGACACAGTAGTCAGCTTGCAGAGCGGCACGTGGACATGCATGTGTTACACACACACACACACACACACACACAGAGAGAGAGAGAGAGAGAGAGAGAGAGAGAGAGAGAGAGAGAGAGAGAGAGAGAGAGAGAGAG